CCCCCCACCCCCTAAACCCACCCACCCATCTCACTCTGTGAGCTGAAATTACTGTTTTTCTCTGTATTTTCATGTCTTCTTCCATTTTTGCTGCTGCCTTGCTCTGTTCTACTCATTTTTCATGTGCTCTGCTTCACCAGATTCAACCACTCTTCTCTGATTGCTTACACTATGGATTCCATTTGAGGGTTTTGTCCAATCTTGGAAGATGAATGATCAAAAGGTACTCAAAGACTTGACCTTTTTTGCATTAACTCTTCATTTTGAGGTGTGATTTTTCTACCCTTTTAAGGGTTTTTAAGAATTGGGAAATTTGATGCCCTTTTTACTGCAAATGTTTCCAAAAGGTACTCAAAGACTTGGCCTTTTCTTGACATAATTCCACATTTTGTTGTGTGATTCTTTAATCCTTTTAAGGGTTTTTCAAGAGTTGGGAGCTTTGATGCTATTTTAGTACGATGATTCCAAACACCCCAAAAAAAAGTAACCCAGTACACTAAGCTCCCATCCCGATAATAGACAAGGGTCTATTGTACTCAGTTTTACCCTGCATTTTTGCAAGAGTCTGTTTCCATGGCCCGAGCCTTGGCCTCCTGGTCACATAGCAACAATTTTACAAGTTATGCCGAAAACAAGAATTAATAAAAAAAAGATCTGCTTGGTGGGTTATGTGCTGTTTGTTGGGGTTTGGTAATCTTGACTAGCTAGGAGACTTTGATGCTAATTTTCAGAAGAAAAGGAAAAAGATAAAATTTTGCTGATTTTCTTTTGGGTTTTATATGGTCGTGCTTGGTGTTATTGAAATGAAGAGAAATTGAGGAAATCTTGAGTAGCTAGAAATGATGCTAACAGTATATTTTAAAGGAAAGAACAAAAAGATTTGGAGATCCCCACTTCGAATCCCCAGCTACAGCACTGAGTGATGCTGCATCTACTCTGGCATTGGTGGACTTGCTTGTGAGTTGTAGCAGGCTGTACGATGCATTAGTCAAGTGCACGCGAGCTGGTCAGGACACCACTATATAAAAAATAGAAGCTAGAAAAAAAATGAGTAGCGGAGGATTTATTGGAAAAGTCTTGTTTTTCATTTCTACCTTGATTCTGTATGGTAGCTTCATGTGTTATGGAAATGGTAGGAAATCTGTGAAAAAGCTTACACTACTCCTTTGCTTGTGTGCTTGTTGGCTATAGGAGGCTGTCTTGTGGAGTAATTGAGGTGCGCATAAGGACACCACTGTCGTAAAAAGGGGTAAAAAGCAACCAAAAAAAAAAAAAGCAAAAAGAGAAACAAAAGTTCAATGACAAATTCTTTTTCCCCCCTTAACCTAGGTTCTCTATGGATATGGTAGCTTCGTCGTGTTAGAGAAATGATAAAAATTTGTAAAAAGCTAGAAGTTAATGGTGCATTTGCAGTCATCTGGTGTCTATTTCTGAGAAATGTCTCAACAAATAGCAAAGTTTAATTTAAAACGACACAGGTTCTTGCATAGGTAATCTATTTGATAATGAGCTGGTTTGCTGCTGGTGAATACCGAATGGACATAACCAACCATTTGTTTTAGATTTTAGATGAACTTAATAGTTGTTCTTCTTCTTTTTTTTTTCTGTTCAATGGAGCTTTGCTTTTATATTATTTGAATTACTTTTATGATTTTAGGTGACAAAAGCTATGACTGTATGGAATAAATAACTCTGAGCAAATCTTCTACAATTGGTGAATACTTAACTAGTTCATTATATACTTGGACAATTAGGCTTATTTAAAAACGTTAGAGATTGTTTAGCAGTGTAATCTTGATTCTGGATTATTGTTAATTATGTTTTGTTGTCTGGAGGAATTAGGATTCGAACAATGTAGAAAGACATTTTTTTCATTTTTGCCATGAACTATTAAGACTAAGTTGCAAAATTGTTCTGTCCATTTTATGTTCCTTCCCCCTTTTATGCCTTCCAATTTCTTGGTAGATTAGGTGACAATTAACTCTCTATTCTGAAAATTCCTTCGACTACCAATGCGACATCTCTCTCGAAATCAACAGCTTCACAGTTTCTACAATATCTCCGACCTAATCTGTCATACTTGTGTGAGTAGTTTACTGGCTTGTTCTTTTTATCCTTTGGGAATCCACTAGTTTGTTTATTAGTTACTGATTTGATATGAAATTGCTTTGATGCTATTAGGACATCTTCGCACTAGCAAAAATTGTGTTCTGGTTATGTTGCTTTGCATGCTTTCTGTGATTCTGTGTTTATGGTTTTTAAATACATTAGAAAGTGTGTAGCAAGGTAATCTTGATTCTAGATAAGAGAATTTATTTTTATTGTTAATTAGGTTTTGTGTTGTCTGGAGCAATTAGGACGTGAACAATGTAGAAAGACAATTTCTCGTTTTTGTCATAAACTATTAAGACTGGATTGCACAATTGTTCTGTCCATCATATATTCCTCCGTTTTTTCTTCTCTCTTTCATGCCTTCCAATTTGTTTGTAGATTGGGTGACAATTAATTTTCTATTCTGAAAACATCTCTCTTGAAATCAACAGCTTCCCAGTTCTACAATATCTCTGACCTAAAGTTCTTCGTAGTCATACTTATGTGAGTAGTTTACTGGCTTGTGCCTTTTCTCTCTTTTTTTCCTTTTCGGTAATCCACTAGTTTGTTTATTAGCTACTGATTTGAGATGAAATTGCTTTGATGCTATTAGTACATCTTCTTCAAACTTAGCAAAATTGTGTTCTGGTTATGTTGCTTCTTGCATCTCTTCTCTGGTGCTGTGTATTTGTTTTTACCAACTTTTTTTCTCTTTTTTTCATTAGGTGTTAATTTTTGGGTCATTTACGGAAGATGAGATTAAAACTTTGCAAAGCCAGCCAACAACAACTGATGTAGGGATCACATTTGGTTCTTTGGATTCTGCAACTCTGAAATCTGTGGGCCTTTTCAACGCTAAATTGACCGACCTTGATCATTCTAAGAAACCTCAGCCACCAGAGCTTGCTCATAAAGAGAATGTCGCCGAGGGTCATAGCAATATAGTGAAAACCATAAAGTCAGCAGGCAAAACTATAAAGGAATATGGTAGTTCTAGTTTTACAAATCCTGATTACAATAGGAGTGTGACAGATTCGAAAACTTTCCATGAATTACATCCAACAGTAAACACCCGAAGTGCTTATTCATCAGAGAAATCAAGCTTATCTGAATTGTCTAACAGTGTGGAAGACGTTAATTTGACAAATCAACTCAAAAACTATAACTTGCTGAATGGTAGACATAAGTCTTTAAATGGGTCTGCTGTGGTTTTCAGAAGTTTGTTAGCTCGAGGGTTGGTCAACTTGGGGAACTTGTGCTTTCTTAATGCAACTCTTCAGGCTCTCCTCTCGTGCTCTCCTTTTGTTCATCTCCTGCAAGAACTCAAAACACGTGATATATCACAGGTATGGTGATAACCTACTTATTAAAAAATCTTCTTAGTTATAACCTATTACAACCTTAAATTTCAAATTTTGGTTTTGCTTATTACAGGCTGGGTATCCAACTTTACATGCCTTTATTCAGTTCATATCTGAGTTTGGCATATTCAGTGATTCTAGCATGAAGAAAAAGGAAACAATATTTCCAGAAATTGGGCAGCCTTTTCGACCTTTAATGTTTGAATCTGTCCTACAAAACTTTACTCCGGATGTCCCAAATAGCTTGACCGGTAGACCGAGGTATGTTACTGACAGCATAAAAGCTATATCTTGTTTCTTACTTGATTATTCTTAGGTGCTCTGAGCAACATTTCCAGTTTTTCTCAACTGGATTCATTTATAAAGATGTTCAAATGAGTTTTTTTAAGTTGAATTGCACGTAGCAACTGCTGTTTGAAGAGAAATTTGATTGATACAATAATTTGATGGAGCGGTGGCCTGTATTTAATTTTCTGTATTTTTACGGTGGAATGGCTAATTACAGGCAGGAAGATGCTCAGGAGTTCCTCAGTTTTCTCATGCATCAGATGCATGATGAATTGCTAAAGTTAGAGGGTCAAGTACCAAATGGTATCGGGAGAAACTCCTCTGTGGTTTCATCAACAGATGATGAGGAAGAGGATGATGATTGGGAGACTGTTGGCCCAAGGAATAGGACTGCAGTTACTAGAACACAGAGCTTTGTCCCGTCAAAATTGAGTGAAATTTTTGGAGGCCAATTGAAGAGTGTAGTGAAGGCTAAAGGTAAACCGAACGCATGGCATTAGATCAGAATACCTTCGTATTTATTTAGTTATATATCTGCTTATGTGTTTGGATTTCATCTTGGTTGAGTGAAATGACACTGGTGATCATTGATCCACTACATTTTCTTATTTCTCTTTTGTTCATGTAAGTTGTTTACTGTTGGGGGACTCTCTTATCCATTTGTCTAATAGCTCTTATTCATTGCTTTAACAAGGTAACAAAGCCTCAGCAACAGTACAACCATTTCTTCTGCTCCACCTTAACATTTTTCCAGAGCCTATTTGCTCAATAGAAGATGCACTTCGGATGTTTTCTGCACCAGAGGCACTTGAAGGATATCGAACATCAGGAGCTGGAAAGGTACTCTATCATGTTATATGAATTTTAGAATCTCTAGATGATTAAGCATACAGGTATGTACTCATTCTGTGGGATTCACCCTTTTTAGTATACAAGAATATGAACATACTCTGGGATATACTTTTTTCCCCTAAAAGGGTTAAAAAGAAGAAAATTTATTTATTTTCTTCTGTTTTTAAGTGACATAAAGAAAACATATTAGTGCTTACTTTTTCTGGAAAAGTCAACTAGGAAATAATTATGCTTATGGTACTTTTGTTCTGCCATTTTCAAGAAATTCGGACTGTCGAGGTGGTGAAAAGCTACAAAAGTGTCCCTAAACATGCTATGTTTTTCGATAATGTAACAAATCTCAGGAGCACAAATGGTGAGCATTAGATGCACAATTGAGATTAGGACGTGTCTAGGAGGTGCGCTTGTGTGGGTTCTTTGTTTTGTTTTTCCCTTTAGATGTCTGGTATGTTCTCCGCAAAATTTAAGACTAAAAGGTGCGGTGATTATCTTATACGACAAAACAAGTGAATCATTACAATTTGAGATCTGGTTATATTTATGCTTGAGTATGTTATAGACAGTATAAACCAGAGTTCATGATGTAAGTATTATTAAGGTTTTCAGTAAGTGTAATACCTTTAGAAAGATAACGACAGTTTTTCTTACCATCATGAAGCAGCCAGCATTCAAAAATGTGATTTTTTTCAGATGGCTATGCTTTCCTTTTTTTCTGACATTGCTGTTAAATTCAAGTTATTTGTGGCTAGTTATTTCCAATTTTCGCAGATTGCTTTTTACGTGTTGGGGACTTAGACCCCTGACTGAAGTGTCTTTTCTTTGGACGTTAAATCTTGCAAATATCTTAGAGAATACTTAATGATTTTCTCAATTAATCATATCTCAGGCCGAAGTAGTCAGTGCCAGCAAGTCTGTTAAGATTCTGGAGCTTTCTGATATAATGGTGTTGCATTTAATGCGCTTTAGCTACGGAAGTGAAGGGAGCACCAAGTTGCATAAACCCGTGCACTTCCCTTTGGAGCTTGTGTTTGGACGTGAATTACTTGCCTCTCCCTCTTCTGAGGTGAGATTATCTCCTTGTTCTTAGAAGTGTGGCGTTGACGAGTGTATCTAGTAAAGCGTATATTTCCATTTTATTACTACAGGTTAAGAGGTATGAACTCGTTGCGACAATCACTCATCATGGAAGGGACCCTTCAAAGGGTCATTATACGGCCGATGCCCGTCATCAAAGTGGCAAGTGGCTGCGTTATGATGACGTGTCAGTCACAGTCATCCCGAAAAGCTCGGTGCTGCATGATCAAGCGTACGTTCTCTTCTACAAACAGTTGTAACTTGTATTT